CAGGGACTTCCCTGTTGCCCAGACATGGTCACGGTTGATGTGCTTGTGTTGGTTTGATACAGGAGAGAGAAAAGCAAGGAGCCACAGAGAGGGGGACCCTTTTGAGGTCAGACCTTGTCAGGACCAGCAGACTTGGGAATGTGTGTCCAGAAACTAGTTTGTGTTTGTTTCTACCGTATTCAAGGAAAGAGGAAAAAAAAAAAAGGCTCTGTTTGTCCTTTTGTAAACACAGACAAGATCACAGGGAGAAATACAATACATTTATATTACCCATGTCTCTTCCAAATAGAAGGGCTGTAACAGGTGATAGTATAACTACAACCTGTTCTTTGACCACTGTCTCTCACATGGAAGAACAACTAGGGTAAGGACATCTTCACATTCCGAGAACTGCAGTTTGGTTTCTTTGCTTCAAGCTGTAAAAATCTCACTGCAAATATCGGCAATTTAGTCTGAGCCTCAGGAGCTGTAACTGGTACGTGGTCCTTCCAATGCAGTTTGTTCACAGGCTGAAGGCCTTCGTCCCAGGCAGAGCAGGAACACATACCACCAACATTTGGAAGCCTCACTTAAGGAATTCCAGACCTACCTCTCTTCCTACTGCAAATCAGCGCCAGGTCCCATTTCCAGTTTAACTGCTGCTCTCTTTCCCCCAGCACACCTGCAGGTAAAAAGGCATCACAAGCAACACACCTGTCCCCAGGTGAGGAGCAAGTGAGGTGGTGGTGCCTGCTGTCTGCACAAAGGAGCTGCTATTGGTCCTTCTTGGCTGGAAGGATGGTTGGTTGATAGGTGTAGCTTTGGCTTTGAGAGGGCAAGGGAGACAAGCCACTGAACAAACAGGAGCAATACAAAGCGTCTTCAGAGCTCCATCAAGGAATCTTGGAGTGATTTGTCTATCTGACAGGGGAAAGAAGATGGACTCAAAAATATTTCCGCCCCAGGGAGAGAGGGGACGCTGGCAGGATCGGGAAGCACGATGGCATCTTTCACCATTGCAGCATCCAGTGAGTCCCCACTTGGCTTGTGGTAGCAAAGAACCACATTCCTGAATGCATATAGGAGTGTTTCTCCCTTGGTCTCACTGGAGCTTAACACTACTAAAATGCCTGTATGAGTCCATGCAAAAATGGACAAAACCTGTTAATTGCTGATGAATGCTGCTTTTGGCCTGTCTCTCTTGCACAGAAAACTGGGCAGGCTCAGACCGCCTCAGCTTTATATCAGGCACCGGCCCCTACCAGGACAAGAACAACAGGACTGAACCGGAGGGACCAGAGACAAGGAACCTGCAAGGCCTCCAGGTCCTGCCATCCTGGCTCACAGAGAACTTGCTGAGCCCTGTAGCCCTGCTACTACGTGGGTGCTGCCTTCACAGGTTACTGCTCCAAACCTACCTGCAACATGAGTAGAATGGGCTTGAGCTTTCTTTGCTTCTTTCCATACCTCAGGACACCCAACTACACATTATGGTCCCCACATCTAGATGGGTCCCCTTGCTACACTGCCATCTCTCTCCCAGCTGCAAAGCCCAAAATCCCCAAGGGCAGAGTTTCCTTAATTAATCATCAGGCAGAATTTTTTTTCCTCTGTCTCTTTTTCCATTTTTGAAGTTGCGATGTTTCCTGCCAACTTTCTGCTTGGCGTGAATTTCTACAACAGAGCAATATAACTTCTGAAAATAGACACTTACACTGGAAAGCCTGACACACCCTATATGGAGCCTGTGAGTGGCAGAACCATAATCAAAAGCCAGTCAAGTCACTAAAGCCATACTAGCAGCATTCAATTAAGGCTCTGAGCAAAGCAGCCCTAAGAGAAGAAAGTAAATGGGAACTCTGTAAACGCTGTAGCACAGAACCCCCAGGCTCTTTTCATCTCTGAGAGGCGAGTTTGTACTCTTTATGGTAACCCTAGCTCGGTCGAGTTATTCCAAAATAGCTGGCACATTCAGAACCCCTTTAAAAATAAAAATTCATGGAAATGGCCAACTTGCTGTGACTTCCTGATATGAAACTGCATGCAAAGCCTATGGGAAAAAAGCCAGTAGTTGTATGATACAAGTCTGAGCTCTGCCTGTCATTATCAAGGGTGGGTTTTTTAGGGTAAAATTCTCCTGGGCCAAATAACAGGAGACTGATAAATAAAGCTTGTCAACTGCCCTTTCTGACTCACTCTCTCCTGCTGGAAGGATGACTCACTGTCATGTGTGAAAGGCTGCCAGGTCTTGCTTACATGCTTAAACAAGCATGGGTTGTCTGTGTTAGACATATATCACCTCAGAAGCAGCAGACAACGCTGAGAAGGCAGCTCTGGAAAGGCCTCTGCTGACTAAAGGATCTGAACTTCAAGGGATTTCTCAATCCTTTCTGGAAAGTTCAAGGTTGTTGTTAGATTACCACTGAAAACTTAGACCCAAAGCCATGTCTGAGGAGGGCTTGGCTGATATACACCGTTTTAAACCAGGGCTTACTAGAACCATCAGATTTTACACTACAGAATGAGCCAGAGCGCATGTTCCAGGTGCAGACAGAAGTAACCGGTCTGGGCTGGAGCAGCCTTTTGTCCAAGGAAAACGGCGTGTCAAAACTAGTCACTTGTTGTTCACTATTTCATGGTGAGAAAGTAGCTCCATGGGGCTGCTTCCCTTAAGGAGACTGTGAGGAACCTGCCTTAACTCTGGAGAGGGCATAAAGCATGTTGAACACCATCTCTCAGTCCGAGTAACTCATCGACTGCTTTTGAGCATCACCAGTAGCTGCTCAGCATTTCCTCCTCTCTGCACTGACACGGACCTCGTAGGCAAGTGACAAGGCACAAAAAACTCGTTTGCATCCAGGAACTTTGCTGCCTACGTGAGTGCACGCTTCACCCTTTGGTCTTCTCCTGTCATCCTGGGCCCACCACAGGCCAAGTGTGCAACTCTGAAATCTTTGCCCCAGGCATCGCAGGGACTGTTCACAAATCCCAGTTATTAGCACATACCACAGTCTGCGTTGCCCTGCAGGACTGACGCCGCAAAGGACACCTTTCCCTCATACTCTTTCTAAGGCCCCACACAATGCCTGTTTACTTGCCATGACAAAGCAAGGTGCTTTTGCAGGGACTAGTGTACTGGGATGTCAATCCACAGATCGGAGAGAGCCTGGTGTCACAGCTAGAGAGACAAAGCTGTACCCATCCTTTGGCATACAGAGGTCTCCTAATGCAGGAATGGAAAGGTTTCTCCCAAGACCAAGAGAAGGAAGCTGTGCTGTAGCTTCCCTCAGCTCCAGGTATTAGCCAACATCTTGATGCATCATTCGGAAGGGAAACCATGCTGCTGGAGGGCAATGATATCACAATTCCTCTTGCGTGTTTTGCCAGATATGCACCAGGAGTTGCTGAAGCAGCCAGGAAGGACATGTTACACATACTTTGGCCCAGCCAGGCTCTCAGAAAACCTGCAACTAAAGCACCATCTCAAGGTCCCATCATCATATTTCAGACCATATGAGCACTAAGCTGTCTGCCCAAAATGAATGATTAACCTAGAAATGTTAATTTTGGATAAAGAGTGTACCATTCTACGTCATGTATATCAGGAAGATATAGCAGTTTCACACACAGTTCTAAATATATCTTTTATATTTCTTCTCCTGTGGGAGAGAATATGGGTTTTCCATCCCACAAAATTTCTAAGAGGTTATTTTTAAATATTTTTGCTCTGTACTAGAACAGATGTCTAATGAAAAGCTTGGGGGAGAAATTGCAGGCCACAACAGCCTCATCCAATAGTAGAAGGACACACCTGACACATGGAAAACAAGACTAGGCCACAATGCTACTTAGGCATTAATATAACATGTGCCAGTCCAAGTGAAGAGCCTAAATAATAGCTGTGAATCTGCAGTTCAAGTGTCTGTCTCAGTAAGGCAGTGTAGGGCCATCCCACATAAGTGATCTAGTCCCTGGACTATTGGTTAGTCCAGAAGAAGTAAATTTCTTGACATGATTATGCTGCAAAATTTTATCCTTTAAAAAACTGAACCACATATTGCAAGGGAAAATTGTATTCTTTTTGTCTCTCATAAATTTTTCTGAAAAACTTCCAAACCAGCACTAACACATCAAATTTCTCCTCTTAACAATGATGAAAACATTCCCTCCCTGGTTTTCTTCCACTGTTTAATCATCCATTATTTTTTAATTGATTTTTATTGACTATGACAAAGTCATTATTTCATCCTAAATTTTCCTCCTGATGCTAATGATTAGCATGTACAGAGAGTCTTACAGGTAAAGTGATACTATTTCTTACCATGAGTTAATTTTGTTTCAAGACATCCCAACTGCATATTTTAAGTTTGAACATCTAAGATCTACTTTCCCAACCATGTAAAACCAGTGATAAACATAAACATATATATCTCATTAAAAAGATAAAATGAAATGAAGACTTGGTAGAGATATTTTAAATAACAGCATTTCTCTTTGCTATACTTATTTCACAATGAGTCATAAATTAGGCTAGCTCTACCTGAGAACAAAATGAGAGACAAT